ATAAAAATAAATAAAAAGTGTGCTTAAAAATTGATAAATTTAAAAAAAAATAAAAAATAAGTTCAAACATATATTTATGAGGTTACATCCATCAATTTTCACTCAATTTTATATTTAGTGTCACTATGATCACTCTATTTTATTTATTTCACCATGACCATTGAATTCCATATAATGTTTCATCATAACCACCCAACTTTTTTTCAACTTTTTTACTAATTTTAAAAATAGTAAAATGGTAATTTTTGGATTATATATATAAAATAAATTTTTATTTTATTTTGAAAACCCTTTTTTCTAAAATAACTTTTTATTTTATTTTATTTTTCTAAGTAACGTTTTTATTTTAAGTAAGCTTTTATTTTATTTTTTATTTTTTAATTAAGATTTTATTTTGTTTTTAAAATGTTATTTTTTGAAAATAATTTTTTATTTTAGTTTTTAAGTAACATTTTTTTAAATAAGTTTTATTTTAGTTTTTAAGTAACATTTTTCTAAATAAGTTTTTTTTTTATTTTTTAATTTATTTTCTATATAATGTGAAGTTACAGTTTTACCCATTTTAAAATTAGTAAAAATGATGAAAAGAAGTTGGGTCATCATGATAAAACATAATATAAATTTGGACGATCATACCGACATTAAGTATAAAGTTGGATGGTCATGAAGAAACAAAATCAAATTAAAAGATATACAAATATAAAATTGGGCGATTGTTGGTGAATTTAACCCTATATTTATACTTCAACCCAATCCAACCTCACTCTACCTACTCTTAACTCCGCTTTCATTTCCTTGCATCATCCCCCTCCATTAAGCACATGCAGGGATGCACCCTGTCGTTTCCATTCTTTTTCTAACTTTCTTCTTCTCTCTCTATATATACATAGATGTGAGGATGAAGTTAGAGAAGATCCATCAATATTTCTAATATTGTTTTAAATACAATTCCCAATCAAAGATTTTGATTCATTCCACCAATGATAAAGCACTTTAATCATATTCTGCACTTTTGTTTTATTCTTTCTAAGTCGAGAAACATATACTCAAATATGTTAATTCATACTTAAAGCAAATATAAACATAAAATAAAATAAACACATTAGCTTGAAACCAGATAATTACTCAAGAATGATATATTTTTTAGCACTAAAATATACGAAATATAAATAATACATAAAACTATAAACAGGAAAAATTCTAGCAATTTACTCACATTAAAAAAAGTCCAATTCTCGACTTCTCGTAAACAAAATTCCATTTAAACAAAATTAAAAAAAAATCGAAAATGAAGCACATACAAAAAGATTTGATTCCATCCAACAATTACATATATAGGTACAGATATAGAGAGAGAATAAGCGAGAGAGAGAAATGAGGTCACAAGCAAGATAACAACTCTATGGATGGAAAATTGAATTTGTCCTAAACGACTTTAATCTGATTAAAATGGGTACTATCTAATTTAAAAAAAAAAAAAAATGGTGGCGAAACAAAAGCCGCTACTAAAAAATGAAAAAAAAAAAAAATTGTGCTCCCCTCACACGGAGCTGCTGTTTCGTGTGTTCAGATGCTGTTCCATCTGCCATGGAGCAGCAGCCATGGTGACCCAAAAATAGTTTTTTATCATCTTCACTAAATTTGTTCCTTCCATAATTGTGTAAATACTCTTTTGGCCCAACAACACACTAATAACTATAAATACATTCTTCTTCATCACCCAATAATTCAAAAAATCTCCACCATTCTCACATCATTTCTATGTCCTCTCATTACCTCTCTACTTTTTTTTCTAACCTCTAATTGACTAATTTCTGGTTCCAATATAGAAGATTCACAAATTCAAACTCAAAACAAATACTCTTTTAAAAAATAAGATTAATTTTTTAATTCAACATTAACTCCAATGAATCAATAAACAAAAGAATATATAAGATAAAAATGCCAAGATTCAGAAGGAACCCAAAAAATTTCAAATTTAATACCTCGCCTTTAAATCAAATCAAAGTTCCAAATCCATTTTTCCATCTCTCTCTCTCTCTCTCTCTATATATATATATACACACATATATATATATATACAGTTCACCCATACAGATAAATACATAACATACGCATGGAAAGTTAGAAAAATTAGAATTTCTACCTTCGATTGGCTGCAATGGAGGCAAGACCAGTGAACCCCTCACACGAGAGCACCAAAACTTTAAAAAATTTTGAACGACTTGAAGATCATCCGGCCGGAATTGGAGGTATGGGTGCGTGCTGATGAACTACATAAGATAAAAATGTCGAGATTCAGAAATAACCGAAAACTGACATTGACAGCATAAACAATTGTAACTTTTGTGAAGCCAAAAAAAAAAAAAAAAAAAAAAAAAAAAAAAAAAAAAAAAAAAAAAAAAAAAAAAAAAAAAAAAAAAAAAAGTAAAGAAAATACAGAGCTAAAAGTTGAAAAAATAGACGCCCATTCTATTTGAGAAAGCAGGCCTATGTAAGCGATAAGAGTTAAGTCTTACCACCATTGGACAAACAAAAACATGTCATTCACGTATTCATTGAATGTGTAATACTGAAAATTAAATAAATTTGCATCATAATAATTGACACACCAACTCATATTTTCTAATCTTATCATTAAACAAAAAACACTAATTTGGTTAATTGGAAAATCTTATCACCTAAAACTGTAAATTAAATTATTTATTTAAACGAAATAAAGCATTGCACAGTTGTTTATTAGTTTCATCTTTAAACATAAATTAAGAAGCACTACTGTACATCAAATATTTCTTACCAAAACTCACTAAAAAAAAAATGGAGAAAAGTATTCATCCTTACATGCAGCTTTAGCAGGAGAATGTATGAATTTCCAGGCCTTCAAGGAAATTAGTTTCCTCAACATTAGTGAACTCACGCTCTGTTGCTCTCACTGTTACCTGTAGAAGAAGAAAGAAAAATAAAATTTTTATAAAAACAAAATGAAAACTTTTACCTCACAAATCAACATAAACTCACACAAAAATGAACAAATATTTAGAAAAATACCTTAAAAAATGCAATAATGAAGCCAATTTAAAAAACCTTTGCTTTGTAGCACAGAACTCGCGAGTCAAATAGGAGAGTTGACTAAGACACAACCAACACAAAAGGAAATCCAAACTGAGTCGTGAACTAGTTGTTAAGACACTCCAAGTAAGAGCTATGATCATAATGAGGTAGCACCTTCGCTCCGTGTTGTCAAGAAAAAATTCGAGACATACATAGCACCCCAATTCAGTAAATCTACCCTTGCATAACACAGTCACCAAGTCGTTAATCGAGATGGAGTGTAGCCCCTCAAGCCGTGGAGGAGATTGATGAACCAACTGGACAAGTGAAGTGGTACAGTGAGTGGTGGAAGAGGGAAGGTGCGAACGTTAAAGCGCTAGAGTAAAGGGATGAAAAACCCAGAAATTATTCTTGGGGTATGTTGTAAAAGGAGAGGTCGATTTTATTGATTCCCAAGAGGAAGGCTATTCAGTGGACAGAGAGATAGGGAGGAGAGAGACAATCTGTGCGTACATGGACTGCTGCTCCGTGCGCTCACATAGCTAAATAGCTCCATGTGTGCACGGAACTGGAGAGAAATAGCTTCGTGCACGCACGAAGCTCGCAGGACAAAGCTAATGCTCCGTGTGCTCATGGATCTGGTGTCAGCTTCGTGCGCGCCGAAATACTGAAAAAAATTAAAATAAAATAAATAAACAACAAGCTTACAAAAAATGAAAACTTTAAAAAAAAATTAATTTAAAAGAACAAAAAATCGAAAAAAAATACTTACATACAAATTAGAGAGATTCAACTATTCACCTTGGGTTGTATAACTACGAACAAGTTTGTTCACGGGTGTTGCAACAAATGAAAATCTAAGAAAAATGATCAATTCGAAAGAACAAAAAATCGAAAAAACATACTTACTAATTAGAGAGATTCAACTACTTATCTTGGTTGTATAAAACAGTCAGTGAAGGAGCTAGTCACGGGTGTTGCAATTTTGGTTGGAATTGGAGAATAACAACTTCTACAAACTCTTTAGAAGAAAGAGAGAGAAAATTGAGAAATTAATTTATAGTAAGAAGAAAATTCAATTCACCGTTAAAGACAAATGAGCAACTAAATGGTACAGATGAACTCAGAAAAAAGAAATGACCAGACTTAAGAATTGAAGAGAGGAATGTGTTTAATGAGTTCAAGATTACACCCATTTTGTAAAATCATTACCTTAAAGTAGGAAAATGAGGTTGCTAAAACTTTAATAAATGTCCAAAGAAAGTTTACAATTAGAATAGAGAATGAGAGAAGAATTCAATGAATTAGGGGATGAATCAAGATAGCTACATGTTGAAATCATGTATTCTTACACAATCAATCTGAAGAAGAGCACAGGAATGATTTAGCTGAAAATAATGGACATACATTATGGTATTCAGTCGGAAACATTAAAAAAAGAAGAAGAAGAAGTACATGACAAAAGATATGAGCGACATGTGTCTTGACATTCTTTCACTCTTTTATATATGTAGGATAATTTTAATATAAAATAAATAAAAAAATATGAATTTTTTATTCCTAATTTCAAATCATAAAAATATAATATTTTGATATAAATTATCATCAAGAACGAGATATACTAATTAAGATGGTGTTTGCGAGACATTTTTATGTAAAAGTGTATTTTTGAATAATAAATTGATGAAAAATATATGGTTGAAAAATAATGTAAAGTTTTTTATTTATGTATAATATTATTTTAATAAAGAATGTGTGGTTAAAAAGAAGTGAGAGAAAAATATATTTTGAAAAAAATGAGTATCAAACATAGCCTAATTAAATGTTGAAAATAAGAATATGACGAGAAAAAGTGAAAATTATAACTACAATTATCAAATATTGAAAAGTTTAACTATAACTGAAGCGCGATGTATCAAATTAAAACCCATTAATAAATAGTAAGTCAGAAGAGCAAGAACTTTGTAGTCGGAACACGCTCCCATTCAAAACCTCAATCCCCGAATGCCACTAGAAACGAGAAAGAGAAGCAGCTAATAAGTCCTCCGCCGCCGCCCCTCTGCCTCTCGTCTCTACTGGCGTTGCCCGACTCCCGTCGTCTCTCTCGCTGTTTCTCAAGCGTAATTCTCTCCGACCCTTCCTCGTCTTTGTCTTCTCTCTTCCTCTATGGATTCACGTATACGTATATGTGTAAAAGAATAGGTTTTTACCTAAATAACTATATAGCTCTGCATCCATCTTTATTGAAGCGAATAGATTGTAGTGAATATTGATATTGTGTTCTTGTGTACTGATTAAGATTGTGGGTCTGCTTAAAAATCCATAAGTAGGTTCGAGATTTATTTTTTTCTTAAAGCTACAGATTTACTTGCGCAATTTTTTTTTTTTTTTTTTTTTACATTGATTTGGACCTAAGCCCAAAACTGAAATTTTGAAACGATTTTGGATTATGATAAAGAATTAGAATAGGAGTTATCTGGTGTATTGGGCTCAAAGAGTATGGTGTAGACTTAGGGTTCTGGTTGTGGACCTTCGGCTTCAATCTCTCTAATTTCATTTTTCAGCAGTGAATTTTGTTCATATTTTCAGTAAATTTGACAAAGGATTTGAAAGAAATGCTGGAGGGTCCTTAATAGAAGTAAAACGGACAAGGAGGGTTTCAAGGACGTGATTCATACCTACTGTAATTTCCTCACGTTCAAAAATCAAGGAAAAAAAATTTAAAACCATAGATGGTACAAAAAAGATTACATCAAGAATCACAATCTCTTAACGGATTAGAAGTGAATGACATCTTAAAAAGAAAGAGACTCGTGATTTAGGGATTTGATTTCACTAGAGTGGTCTATTTCTCAATGCTTAGACAGAAATGGATTGGTCAACTTTGTTGGGGATATATTTTTTAGGATATTGATATTAATTGTTCTTAATTTCTTGGTTGTGTGCTTGTGGTGTGCTTATTTTGCATAACAACACTACAAATGATTGCTACAAATTAAATACTACTCGGAGAAAATATATGACAGATACAATTTCTTACATCATGGAAAACAAATCTTGGGAGATGCAAAAGTTTGAAGGTAACTTAACAAATGTCATTGAGGCAGAAGAGAAAAAAAGAAGGCTCTGTTCCATAGTATGTGAAAGTGAAAACTTCTAGAATGGTCTTCCATAGTATTGTGTGGTAACTGATTTTGCATATCAGAAAATTGGAATTGCCCGGATGATAATGAGTGCAGATTTTCATCATGTTGCTCTGTTCCAGTCTTGGACTTTACTTTAGAACCTATATCAGATGGCAGCTGAGACTCATCATTCTTTAACAAAAGCTGGTAGCTTTGACTTTGCTGATTTGTTGCCTTTGAAGTTGACCAAGTTGCTGGTGCTGAAATTGATATTAAGGCTTTTGAAATTGTCGAGGTTGATGAGATTGTACAAGACTCTCTCTCCGTGAGTAATTGGATTGAAGGTACATTTTCTCTGATTGATCAGTTGAATGAGGCTTCATCTTAATCACCTGTTGAATTGCATACATATTCGACTGATTGTCCATCAAAGGAGAGCTTGCATTGCGCATGAACTGCAAGGATCCTGCATTAAACTTCTGATCGTTCATCATCGACTCAACAGAGGTTACAGGAGCATGCAAGTTTCCAGACTTCGAAGCATCAGAAGAACCAAGTTCATTTCTGTCACCTGAAAGCGGCCTATTGTATTAAGGATGCAACTAAAAGGTAACAGAAATATGTTGAACACATTTTCTCAGTGACGCATTTTGAGAGAGAGAGAAAGTACCCTGCATCACTGGTTGCTGATGTTGATCGAAATGTTGGTGCCAGGATTTTGGGGAGTTCCCATGCATGGTTCCCATTAAATACCCTCTGAAGTTCTCGGACCATTCACTTGTGGTATATTGTTTCCAGTCACCCCTAGTCCACCATTTAAGGACCCACTCAATAATCCATATGATGTTTGGTGCATGGTGGATCTATCCATATGACCATCAATATTTTGCAACATACGACAATTTTGACCACCAAAATGCTACATTGGCTGTGATCCAATAGTAGATTCATCAGCTGCAAATGCACTGACATTAGAAAATGACTCCAGGTTCAAGAGAGACTGATTATTGGCATTATTATCCCGTTCGTTACTTGGATTACTAAATCCAGGAGTGGGGATCCTTTGGCTGGTCATTCTCTGTACTCTGGATGTCAACATGCTATTTCCACCAGAACTGATTGAGAATCCAGTAGATGACTGCTGATATCCACTGGCCAAAGCACCTGCCTGCATATATATGTCTTATGAGACAGGAATTACAGAAGGTGAGTTGATAGCTATACTCATTTCCAAAGAAATAAGACATAGAAGCATTAAATAAACTAAAGAACCATCATGCACAGTTCCAGATGACCACTTTCCAGATGGCAAGAAGATTTCAGAATTGACAGTGGGAAAATGCAATTGTATTACCATTGTTAGCAACAATGGAACTATTGACTGACGAAGCTCTTGTCTGGATTGAATTCCCTGTTCGAGGCAATCCAGGGCTCAGAATCATTTTACCAATGGAAGAGAGAGTATTGGCATGTGAATAAATTCAAGTAGACTAAAAACTCTTAATCCCAAAGAAAGACAAGCTTCTTCAGGAGTATAATGTTGAGGGAGAAACATTCAGTCAAGTGCATGCGATCATTACCAAGGATATTTAATGAATGTGAAAAGGTGAAATTGCAATTGAAAACTCAAAAAGGGAGACTAAGCAATGGGAGCATATCTAGCGAAACGCGAGCCTCATAAAGAAAATGTGGGAAGAAAGCTGGTTAAGGAGGTTTGTACTTTAATTCTTGGCTACATTTTACTCCGATTTATAGCATTTCTATGCATTTTTGCATAACCGAAATTATTTACTAAAAAAACCACTCTAAAGGAGTATTAGTTATTAAAGTTGGGTGTAATGCAGCTAACATTAAACTTGAGGGGTCATAGCATACATAGCATATAAAACGGAAAACTCAAGCACCGAAAGGTGCCAAGTTGTCAACGGCCAACCTAATGTCATTTATAAGTTTTTTCCTATTCTTTTATTTTTTGTTTTTATTTTTTGTTGCGCTGTATTTTTCATTTCAATTATTTCTGCATAGATTTGTTAATGATTTATTTTGCATATTTTTGTCTGAATTTTCCTACGAAATGAACTTATGTAGTCTGAAATTCTATATTTTCTATGCAAGTTTTTTAAAGGAAATCATTAGAATTATCCACCAACTGTTTGTTATTATAACCCAAACTATATTACATAGTTGACCTTGACTGGTGTGCGCAGAGTCAGAATTAGAACTGCATTTTAGGGTGGACTAAAATTTATAATTGATATGCCGCACCTGAGTGTGAGTGTGGCAGTAATATACAAAGGATTTTTGTTTTGGCATAAATTTGGTTGTGCTATGAATCCTGATGAATGATGGAATTTTAACATATTCTTATTTTACTTGTTGCTTTGTTTGTTGCGGCATGTTTGTAGTAATTTGCCTATACTACGTCTTTCCTTTGTGTTTTCACTTATATTCTCAACTATACTACTGGTATTATAATTATGTAAAGGGTTTAAAGAGGGATTGCTGTTAGGATTTCATTTGTAAGAACTTTAAGCATTATGAGTTCTAAACTAGGTGTGCCCAAGTATTTTTTTTAACAAGTCTCATATCTTAGTATCTTGTTTCAAGAATTAAAAAGTTGCAAACTCTACATGATTTATGTAAAGTGATGTCACTTTTTGTTTCAAGAAACAATTGCCTAATTTACATATAAATCTGTATTTTTTATTGCTAGAATTATATTATGGACATCAAAATACATTTCAAATTATTTGATTCAAAATCCATGTGCAGTGCTCAATATTTGAGATTAGGAATGTTGAGAATTTATGGAATTAAGTCTTATCTCTGGGATTTTCGATCAAGATACATACTAGATATTGATAGTTTTCTTGCTTAGAGTTGTATCTTTCACCGTTCTACAACGTCTTGAAACTAGTACTTCTTTTTCTTGTTTATTGGTGGAAAAACTCTATAGGAGAGGCAACATATTAAAAGAGGGAGTTCTCTATATATCGTGTCCATTCCTATATGTTCTCTTTTGCAAATTTATGTTTGTTTAATGTGTGTTGCCTACTTTTTCCTCACCTTTTGCTCTCTTGAATAAGCAGCATGAGGTCAGTATATTGTTTGTTCATTTATCCTTTGCCAACCTTGAACTAGTACTTGTAGGCTAATGAAGGACTTGGAACCATGGGCTTGTGAGTGCTCAGTTTTTTAAAGGTACTAATAAAACATCTTGTTTCATCATCTTTATATGCTGAGCTTTTTGTCCTCGATGTTCCTAATGCACCAGTTTTGTAGATAAACTTCAGCACAATGAACAATTCAAAGATCGTCAATTCGTGGAATAAAAAAATGATGTTTATGAAGCGATTCTACTGTAGAAACAGGTAAATCATAAAATTTTGCCACTATTCTTTGTATGTTTGCTCTTATTTAGTTTGATTTTTACATTAGAATACAAAATAATCTGAACTTGTAAAATTGCAGTAAGTATAAAACAGAGGATTTGGTGGATGCGCGCATCATTAAAACAGGTTTTGATCTGGGCACTTGTCGCTCCAACTTCCAGTTGAAAAATTTTGTTAGAAGAACAGAGATTACTGAGGCACGCCAACTGTTTGACCAAATGCCTCGAAAAAACACATGTTCAGTGAACATGATGATTACGGGTTATGTTAAGTCAGGCAGTCTTTCTTATGCGAGGGATTTATTTGAGAAGATGGTTGATCGAACAGCAGTGTCATGGACAATAATGATTGGTGGATACTCACAGAACAATCAGCCTAAAGAAGCTTTTAATCTATATGTTGAGATGTGTAGGTCAGGGATTAAACCAGATCATGTCACCTTTGCCACTCTCTTATCAGGCTGTGATGACACCATGTCCGGAGAAGACATAAATCAAGTTCATGTCCATATTACTAAATTAGGATTTGACTCAACTCTCGAAGTTTGTAATAGTTTGGTGGATTCTTACTGCAAATCTCAAAGCTTTGATTTAGCTTTTCGGCTCTTCAAGGACATGCCAACAAGAGATTCTATTTCTTTCAACACAATGATAACAGGGTATTCGAAAGAAGGGTTGAATGGACAAGCAATCAAACTCTTCTTTGAAATGCAATATTGTGGTTTAAGGCCAACAGATTTCACTTTTGCAGCATTGCTATGTGCGAGTGTTGGATTAGATGGTTTTGCCCTTGGGCGACAAGTCCATGGACTTATAATCAAGACCGATTATGTTTGGAATGTATTTGTTAGCAATGCATTGCTTGATTTTTACTCCAAGCATGAATGCTTAGGGAACGTTAGAAAACTCTTTGATGAGATGCCAGAGTTGGATGGTGTTTCTTATAATATTGTCATCACTAGTTATGCATGGAATGGGAAACTAAAAGAATCTTTTGATCTCTTTACAGAGTTACAGTTAACCGGGTTTAGTAGAAGAAACTTCCCTTTTGCAACGATGTTAAGCGTTGCTGCAAATACCCAAGATCTGCAAATGGGAAGGCAAATCCATGCACAGGTACTTGTAACAACAGCTGATTTAGAAATTCAAGTGGAGAATGCACTTCTTGATATGTATGCAAAATGTGGCAGATTTGACGAAGCCAATATTCTATTTGCAAGTTTTGATGGCAAAAGCTCTGTTCCATGGACGTCCATGATATCGTCTTATGTACAGCTAGGACTCAACGAGGAGGCACTCAAATTATTCAATGAAATGCGTACAAATGATGTTAGTGGAGACCAAGCAACTTTTGCAAGTACCTTAAAAGCCTCAGCAAATTTGGCTTCACTTTCACTGGGGAAACAGTTGCACTCATCCATTTTCAGATCCGGATTTATGTCAAATGTGTTTTCAGGAAGTGCACTTTTGGACATGTATGCAAAATGTGGGTCTATAAAGGACGCCATCAAGGTTTTCCAAGAGATTCCCGATAGAAACATAGTATCTTGGAATGCAATGATCTCGGCATATGCTCAGAACGGAGATGGTGAAGCCACTCTTATATCCTTTAAGGGGATGATTGAATCAGGTCTTGATCCAGATCCAGTGAGTTTCCTCAGTGTCTTAGCTGCCTGCAGCCGTTGTGGACTTGTTAATGAAGCGATGTGGTATTTCAAATCCATGACTCAAACTTACGGACTTGTTCCAAGAAGAGAACATTACTCGTCTTTGGTTGACGTACTCTGTAGAAGGGGAAGATTCAAAGAAGCAGAGGCATTTATGAATCAAATGCCATTTGAGCCAGATGAGATCATGTGGTCATCAATTTTAAACTCAAGCAGGATCCATAAGAATCAAGAGATTGCTAAGAAAGCTTCAGAACAACTTTTCAACCTGGATGTGCTTAGAGACGCTGCATCTTATGTTACCATGGCTAATATCTATTCTGAAGCTGGTGAGTGGGAAAACGTGGCCATGGTGAAGAAAGCAATGAGAGAACGTGGAGTTAAAAAGGCTCCTGCCTATAGCTGGGTTGAAATTGATCATAAAGTTCATGTGTTCACCGCCAATGATAGGACACATCCAAATACTGAGGAGATACAAAGAAAGATCAACTATTTGGGAAAACTGATGGAAGAGGAAGGCTATAAGCCTGACACCAGTTGTACCCTTCAAAATGTAGACGAGGATACTAAAGCAGAATCACTTAAATATCATAGTGAGAGGTTAGCCATTGCATTTGCACTGATCAGTACACCGGAAGGATCACCTATACTGGTCATGAAAAATTTAAGAGCGTGTACAGATTGTCATGCTGCTATAAAGGTGATTGCAAAAATTGTTAACAGAGAAATTACTGTAAGGGATTCTAGCAGGTTCCACCATTTTAAAGATGGATCTTGTTCATGTGGGGATTACTGGTGAGATTGTAGATTAAGAAGCATCAATTTCCAGTGAACTAATCAAATATTGTTGTCCAAATTGCACTTTTTTGAGAGCAAGCATCAGAACTCAGCTGGTAATAAATCATCATTCTTCTGTTTTATGCATCTTGTTTCGAAACTTCACACCTGAACCAGCACCGTAGCTGGGCAATAAAAATAAAGTATCTCAAAAATACTGTTACAAGTTTTCTATTCCAAAAATGTGTTTAAAATAATCATTTAAAACAACTACAATTCCGTAAGGATGTTATTTTAGGTAAATCCACATAAATGGTAAAAAATCTGAACTTCTTGATTAGAGCATGTTTGGGAGTGATTTTGAGAATTAATTTTTTGATCGTTAGGAGAAAAGTGGGGTTCACTTGTGAGAGAAGAAGACAAATATGACGGTTGGAATAATGAAATAAAGGTCAAAAAATCATTTTTTTGGACCAAAAAATCACTTCCAAACAGGTTGTATATATCCGCTCCCAACATTCAAGAATCAGAATTTTGATCTCATCTATCCTTCAAAAAACTGTTGGCTGGAAATCTCTAGTTTTTGTGTTTCAAAAAATTATTTTATTTCTTTATTTTCATGTAGAAACATTTGTTTCCTTATATTTCAGGTGATTTTTATAAAAATATATTATTTCCTTATTCCACATTATTTCCATTTTTATACTGTGTCATGTACCTATAAATAGTGATTTTTTCTTTCAGTTTTGTTCAAGCAATAATTGTTGAGTTCTTGTATTTTTCTCCATATTGTCAATTAATAAAATGTCGTGCTTCCACAATTAACTATCTTTCTTAATTTCTTCACTTTTAAATATTGTTTTTCGGTGCGATCTTCATTACTTCATATTATGTCATTAATCTCATTCATTACAATTCCTCCGTGTCCAACATTTCTTTTATGTTATTTTATAAATACATCTTTAAGCACTTCTTCAGTGAAGGTTTTCTTTATTATATTGACCCATTGATAGTCTTAATGTATGTATTTTGTTAGAAAATAGGATTTATAAATCAATTGATCTGAGTTTTAAATGTGAAGATCTCCCTTTGTTTTATCCACTTGCAGACCATGATTCCGACAAGTATTTGTCTGGCCTTGGATTGGAATCCGTGAAAACTTCCTACTGAATACGATGACCACGGCTATTTGAGAGAGAGAGGTACTAAAATAAGAAGTGAATTGACAATAATAGGACAGTAAAGCTATCTTGACAGGGATAGCCAACAGATTTTGGTGTCAGCCCTATTTCGTTACCCCTTTTTTTATCCTAACTACCTAATTAGTGAACGACACGTGTCTGCCCAGATTTAAACCATGTCCCAAACCCTGTTTTTGCAGCATTTCTCAAGATAGGAACTAATTCTACTAGTCTACAAACATTTGTTGAATTACCAGGGACAGTCTGTTGTAGAATTTGTATGCTGGTTTAGGTTCAACATGACCATGTCCTTTGAGAAGTCTTTAAGTTAATCACCATCACAAGAGAACTTTTCTGGCAAAAAATGACAACATATGATCTTTATGGGTTCGTTGGACGAGCAAATGACTGCTGTCCTGATAGCATTTTCATAGAAAATCCATCAGGTTTGGAAACCACAGAACCTCATATTATCATCTTTATGAGTGCTATGAAACTTCAGATTTTCATGATCATTAAATATCTCTTGGTAATATTTGCTCGCGTTTGAATGAATCTTTTTCTCGTCAATAAATTATACTCTTGAAGAACTTATCCGTGATTAACTGCTAAGAAAGTTCTCAGTCTCCTAGAATCTATTTTCCATATCCAGCAAGAACATTTTCCTTGTGTCAGTGACACTCGTTAAATAATCTACGATCTTTTCTTCTTTCCCAGCTTTGTTTTCATTACATCCGAAATTGTTGCTCCAAGGTCTCCAGTCTATCTTAGATTTTCTCTCAGTAGCATATCATTTGTAGCACTCGTTTTGTAGGGTTTACACTACATTCACACGAGCAAGAAATTAAGAACATATTTACATCGTATCCTATAAAACAAATTAATGCAAGAAAAAATTCTCCCTACAGCAGTAAATGAAGTGGCTAAACGTGAGTCTAATAAAGAAATTTTGAGAACAAAGCACGCCGAGGAGCTTGAAGTGGTACGGTATTTTCTTTCTTGGTTGTGTTTTAGTCCAATTTATAATAGAGTAAATTTAATCAATAATCACTGAACTTTATACTTGATTACTACTTGCTTACTCATCTTTCACAGATTACTGAATGCTCACTCATCTTTTTATATAATTACTCATTCACCACTCGTCTCTTCAAATAATTGGGCGACTTTTACGACAAATTTTCGACAACTTCCGACCATAAAGAATGTCGAATTTTGATACCGTTGGAAAGCCCGCGATATCCTCTTCAATTACTACCCAAAATCTCATTATAATTCCAAGGGATTCGATTGAAAAATTGCCTTAAAAGTTGCCCAAATTTTTTGAAAATCTGCCCAAATTTTCAGATTTTTTGGGCAACTTTTAAGTCAATTTTTCGGCAACTTTCGACCATCAAAACTATCGAATTTTGATACCATTGGAAAGCCCACAATGTCCTCTTCAATTACCATCCAAAATTTTCCCATAACTCCAAAGGATTCGATCGGAATAAACCCACAAAATCAGCATCTTGAAAAGGCGAAAATCTGGACAAAGTTCGGGACGCTGACTTTGTGGGTTATTCCGACCGAATCCTTTGGAGTTATCGGGAAATTTTGGGTGGTAATTGAAAAGGACATTGTGGGCTTTCCAATGGTATCAAAATGAGATAGTTTTGATGGTCGAAAGTTGTCGAAAAATTGCCTTAAAAGTCGCCCAAAACATCTGAAAATCTGTCCAGATTTTCAGATTTTTTGGGCGAATTTTAAGGCAATTTTTTGATCGAATCCCTTGGAGTTATAATGAGATTTTGGGTAGTGATTGAAGAGGGTATCGTGGGCTTTCCAACGGTATCAAAATTCGACATTCTTTGTAGTCGGAAGTTGTCGAAAATTTACCGTAAAAGTAGCCCAATTATTTGAAGAGACGAGTGGTGAATGAGTAATTATATGAAAAACTGAGTGAGCATTCAGTAATATGTGAAAGATGAGTGAGCAAGTAGTAATCAAGTATAAAGTTCAGTGATTATTGGTTAAATTTACTCATTTATAATATGTGTAAGTATGCCCTCCAGGATAGTAGTGCAAAGGCAACCGTAGTGTGAGGGTTCGATTCCCGAGATATGAAATTTGACTCTTTGTGAACACCAGTGTATGGGCAATCTCTTGTTCCTTAGTTTGTTGAAGCACATTCCGCAATTTACCTCCTTCACGATGCTCCAGGGGCGAGGTGGGATGGGATGGTGGGGGCCCTCAAAATTGGGGTTCAACCTTTATAATATGTGTAAGTATTTTGCATAACAAAAATTAATTACTGAAAAAGAAACTCTTTAAGAAAGAAAAGAGCCTTTTTATTGAAGACAATTGTGTTATTCAGGCTTTTACTACTTTGAGATTTGGCTTTCTTGCAGTTTAATGTCATGAAAATCACTTAAATTTCTTCGTGCAAAACACTTGCATTTCTTAAATATTTCCTATGTACATTATTTAGTACTTATACTATTAAGCTTTTCTTTAATATTTTGATCAACTAAAAGTTTCAATATGGGCTTCTGATTATTATAAGATAGGATATTTGAAATGTGAACCCTGTGATTTGGGTTTTGTATCACTGGGTGTATGTTTGGTGTTGATGAGTATTGAACATGATTTAGTTAAACTTTAAATGCACTTTAATTATTTAATTCAAAATCGGGCCTTGCTTGATGTACATAATTTTTTGTTAATCAAGGTATCATCCGCTCACATGGAGTGGGGTTCACTCGAATATTTTATTATAGTGGATCCCACCCCATATAAGTGGAGGACACCTTTATGTACAAAAAATTATGTACATGTAGATTTATCATTCAAAATCACGTTAATTCTAATGTAGTATCAATTTTAAGGAAATATAATCTTTGAATATAATTGGCTGGTAAAATGAAACAGTAACTACGAACAACTAAAATTCCTTAAAAGGCCAAACCTTTTGTATGGAACTCTGGCGAAGACTACACCAACGCCTCAAACCTCCAACGACCTGAAGCTGGGCTTTGCGCTTCTGGCTTCCCTTGCTTTGAACACAAAGTAACATCTCAGTTTATATATTTATATTACATTTACTGGTAAATTTCTTATGTCTATTTTGTTTTTGACTATAAAGAAAATTCTTGTTAGTAATTAGAATCTATGGGGGGGCCATTAGTTCTTATTTAGAAGTGTTTTTCCTGGCATAGTGATTATATAGCATTCATTATCTGAATTAATATGACCGGATATAATTTTTAATCTCAGAAATCTACTAAAGTTCATTGACTTTGTAATGCTCCAAAATCAAGGAACTCGAAACATTATCAAACATGAATTTATTAAAGTTTTTAAAACAAATAATTTTAATATAATGAGAAATTCAATAAAAATTGACAACTATATATATTGATAAAACTAGTTTTTAACATGCGATTGGAATGCGAATAATTGGAATAATAATGTTATTCACAATTGAGTTTAAATCTGAAAAAATAGTCAACTGCTATTAAAAATTATAATGTTCCTAAAAATTAAAGTATTTCATGACAAGGATCCGTTGGTCCAATAGCATTTCCATCCATGGCCATCTAGCATGCTAATTTTTACCTGAAATTTGAAAATAAGAAGGGATTAGTATAACGAATTATACTTAATGAGATACTTGCTACTACACATTCAAATCAAACATGAAATTATGTATAAATTCTGTTACCAACATAAAATGAGAATTATCACCGCACTACAAATGACAATTCTAGCTAGCACCGTAAAATTACTTGACAGTTAACTAATACTCACAGATATGTTGTAAAATGTATCATGATTTCTCTCGAATGAGTTTTGAATTAAGTAGTTAAATCCATACATAACAACATATTTGAAAAGATGTAAAAAAAAAAAAAAATCACTAATAGCACTGAGCACCTACCCGTTCGAAAATGAGTGTGGAGAACAAAATTGTAGAAAACGTG